TCCTTCTCCTTATCTCCTTCTCCCTCCTCTACTCCCTGTCATCCTCTCCTTCCTCCTCTCCTCCATCCTCTTCTTCCCTTCTCTCTCCCACCCCTCAATTTCCCTCCTCCCCCTCCTTCCTTCACCCCTCTCTTCTCTTTTCCCTCTCCCCCCTCCTTTTCCTCTCCCCCTTTCCATCCTCCTCTTTCTCTTCTCCTTCTCCCTCCTCTTGCTCTCTCCCTCCCCTCTGTTTCCCTCTCCCTTCTCCCATTCCCTGTGCCTTCTCTTCCTCTCCCTCTTTCCCTATCCTGTTCAAATAAACAAACAAATACATCCTTTAAAAATAGATTCCTGTGTGCTGTCATGGTACATTGCCCTCGTTGATTACATCCCATAGCAGAGCACTGGTTGGAGTCTCGTCTGCTCTCCTTTAGATCCAGCTCCCTGCTGATGTGCCTGAAAAAGCAGCAGAGGATTCCCCATGTCCTTTTCTTCCCTGCCATCCACCTGGGAAACACTGGCAAAACTCCTGGTGGTTCATGGCTTTGGCCTGGCCAAGCCCTGGCTGTTGCAGCTATTTGGGAAGTAAACCAGCAAATGGAAGACCTATCTCTCCCTCTCTCTCTGCCTCCCATCTCTTTGTCACTCTGCATGTGAAATAAATAAATAAACGTTAAAAATGAACATCAAAATCTAGCATTCTGTTACGATAACCCTGAGACATCCAAAAGCTCCAGTCATTCAGGAGCACAAATGTCCCTGATACCACCAAAGACTTTCCTACCAGTATTCCTTTATTATTATGCCACAGAAATCACAGAGGGGGGTAAGATTTGTATTATCTTACTACTTCTCAACTTTTGTTCCTCTCTTGCAAAATAGGTACCATGTCCCTGCTACCCACTGCTTGGTCTTCTCCCTTTTTTCTTGTTTCCATTCTCATTGTCCACTACCTTTCTTCTTAGTGAAGTCAACTCATTAATTTGATTTGTTTTATTTTTTTCCATGTACTGAACTAATCCAGTTATGCCCACTGAAAACACTTTATTCCAGTGGTTTTGTGAAGTTTTGGGGGATAAAAAGAGGCTCTAGCCTTGGAGAACCACTTAGTAACCTTAAAACAATAGAAGGATGCTTCTTTAAGAACACAGTTGGTTTTTTTTTTTTTTTAGAGAATATGACATCTGACAGTCTTTTGCATTATTTTTAAGTAACATACAGTTTAATATTTGATATTTGGACAGCCTCAGTTAATCCCAGTGGTGTATATGACCCTTGTGTCTCTGTTAACTCTGCTATCTAGGATGTGGAGATGTCAGCCTTGCATAATTGTCAAGGATTTAAAAGTTCTCTTTCCACAGAGCTAACAAAATTTCAAAACCGTAACTGGGCGACTTCCTGTCTCTCTAAAAACTGAAACATGGAACCCTGTCTTAATGCCTCCATGACAAGCTCCTATAGGCTGGATATGGAAACCCATATTGCACCAAAGAATTCTTGGTGTCCTTTCCAGATCAATTACCAGGATGATGATGACCCCACCCAGTCCTTCTGTTACGGGTTTCTGGAAGAATGATGACTTCTTTCTTGGGACTGATACTGTGGCGAAGCAGGTTCAGCTGCCACTGGCAGCACTGGCATCCCACATTGATGCCAGTTTCAGTCTCAGCTGCTCTACTTCCGATCCAGCTCCCTGCTAATGTCCTGGGAAAAGCAATATGGGGCCGGCGCTGTGGCGAAGCGGGTTAAAGCCCTGGCCTGATGCTCTGGCATCCCATATGGGCGCTGGTTCGAGTCCCAGCTGCTCCACTTCTGATCCAGCTCTGTGCTATGGCCTGAGAAAGCAGTGGAAGATGGCCCAAGTCTTTGGGCCCCTGCACCCATGTGGGAGACCCAGAAGAAGCTCCTGACTCTGGCTTCGAT